AGACTATATAAAATGTCCCCCTATATATATATAGCAGTCCCCCGTGGTGCAGTGGTAAGACACTCGCTTGGCGCTTTGGCCTGGGGTTCCTATCCTGGCCGGGGAGGATTGACTGGGCACCAATCCTTAACTGTAGCCTTTGGATTAAGGAGCTGCCCAAAACGCTATACGGGTGGTCCCGTATAGCGGGACACACATACACACACACACACACACACACACACACACACACACACACACACACACACACACACACACACACACACACACACACACACACACACACACACAACACACACACACACAAACACACACACACACACACACACACAACACAACACAAAACACACACACACACACACACACACACACACACACACACACACACACACACACACACACACACACACACACACACACACACCAAACAGACAGAGAGAAAGATCTAGGAGTTGATATCACACCAAACCTGTCTCCTGAAGCCCACATAAAGAGAATAACGTCTGCGGCATATGCGAGGCTGGCTAACATCAGAACAGCGTTCAGGAACCTGTGTAAGGAATCATTCAGAATCTTGTACACCACATATGTAAGACCAATCCTGGAGTATGCAACCCCAGCATGGAGCCCGTACCTTGTCAAGCACAAGACGAAGCTGGAAAAAGTCCAAAGGTATGCTACTAGACTAGTCCCAGAACTAAGAGGCATGAGTTATGAGGAAAGGCTGCGGGAAATGCACCTTACGACACTGGAAGACAGAAGAGTAAGGGGGGACATGATCACAACCTACAAAATCCTCAGGGGAATCGACCGGGTAAACAAGGATGAACTATTCAACACTGGTGGGACGCGAACAAGGGGACACAGGTGGAAGCTGAGTACCCAAATGAGCCACAGAGACGTTAGAAAGAACTTTTTCAGTGTCAGAGTAGTTAGTAAATGGAATGCATTAGGAAGTGATGTGGTGGAGGCTGACTCCATACACAGTTTGAAATGTAGATATGATAGAGCCCAATAGGCTCAGGAACCTGTACACCAGATGATTGACTGTTGAGAGGCGGGACCAAAGAGCCAAAGCTCAACCCCCGCAAGCACAATTAGGTGAGTACACACACAGAGAAGAATATTATCACAATAAAACCAGGAAATTGTAATATAGAGCAGCCGGCTCCTCCCCAGAGCCGCCACCACACGAGAGGCAGGAAAGAGAGAAGGATACATAGAGAGAGAGAGGAAGGTGCTAGAGAGAGGTAGTGGGTTATGCTAACACATGCTAGAGAGAGACGTAGCGGGTTATGCTAACACATGCTAGAGAGAGACGTAGCGGGTTATGCTAACACATGCTAGAGAGAGATGTAGCGGGTTATGCTAACACATGCTAGAGAGAGATGTAGCGGGTTATGCTAACACATGCTAGAGAGAGAGAGGTAGCGGGTTAATTATGCTAACACATGCTAGAGAGAGACGTAGCGGGTTATGCTAACACATGCTAGAGAGAGAGAGGTAGCGGGTTATGCTAACACATGCTAGAGAGAGAGAGGTAGCGGGTTATGCTAACACATGCTAGAGAAAACAGCATATTTCGCTAAATAATGCCAAAGAAAAATAACTTAGTTTTTCTCAGCCAGAAGAGAAATGGAGTGTTTGAATAAGCCGTGACAGACAGTTTTGACATTTGTGTAGACATTAAACAAAGTTTAGAATGTAAACAAATGCGAATCTGAACCCAAAATATCAACCATTTAACATTTCAAAACAATAACGGTATATTAATAAAACTTTCCGGAATTTATTAATAAAATATTTGTGCATGATAAAAAAAATATATAAAAAATATAATATTTGTGATGGAGACTAGGCTTGATAATAAATTAAACCCACGTTTTCCATTCAGCAACAGAAGCAGTTATGTGGACATGATCACCTCCATATGTACATATATATATATATATATATATATATATATATATATATATATATATATATATATATATATATATATATTATATATATATATATATATTTAACTTGTACTAAAGAGGCACCCTTCTTGAGCCCGGATGGGCACATGTATAAGCAAGTAGATGGGGTCGCCATGGGTTCTCCCCTAGGTGTCCTGTTTGCAAACTTCTACATGGGTACCATCGAGCAAAAAGTCTTAGTCGACATGAACTTGAAACCGGCCATATACTGCAGGTATGTTGACGACATTTTTACACAGGTACCTGATGTCAGACATCTGCAGGAGCTGAAGGAGGCATTTGAGCGGAATTCTGTGTTGCGTTTCACTTACGAGATGGAGAAGGATGGGAAGCTGCCCTTTCTAGATGTAACAGTCATGGAAAGGAGCGGAGGTTTCCACACTGCAGTCTACACTAAGGAAACAAACATAGGAATGTGCCTGAATGCCAACAGTGACTGCCCAGACAGGTACAAGAGGAGTGTTGTTAACGCTTATGTCGACCGTACTCTCAGCCACAACTCAGGATGGAAGCAAGTCGATGAAGAACTCTGTAGGGTAAGGCAGGTCCTAGTCAACAACGGTTTCTCCAATGGTTTCGTTGAAGACATCATAAGAAGGAAGGTGAAACGCCATGCAACCTCTGAAGATACAACTAACACAACACCTGTAACCCCTATTAGACTATTTTACAGGAACTTCTTTTCCACAGCTCATAAAACGGAGGAAAGGGTCATGAAAGATATTGTTAATAGGAACGTTATCCCTACAGACAAAAATCAGAAGATACAACTGACGATTTACTATAAAACCAAGAAAACGGCCAATCTACTCATGAGAAACTCTCCAGACACAAAGCAGAACGCTTTAAAAGAGACCAACGTTGTCTATGCCTTCAAATGCCCACTTGGGGACTGTAAGCCTCAAAGAACTCAGCATATAGGCAAGACAACAACATCTCTTTCCAGGCGATTAACGATGCATAAGCAACAGGGCTCCATTAAGGAACATATAATCTCTTCCCACAACCAGACCATCACCAGAGAAGTCTTAACAAAAAACACGGAAATTATCGATAGATACAGCGATAGCAGGCGGCTTGACATCTGCGAGGCACTACACATTAAGAAGTCGACACCAGCAATCAACAGCCAATTAATGCACAACTATATTCTACCCACTTCAAGACTCCGCTCCAATATAGAAGCATCAAGAAATATGGGCCAATAGGCCCTCTGCAGTTACTTCCATTCTTCCCTTTAACTTACAAAATATTATACCCATTGTTTCGTGTTCTGTCTTGTGTTGAAAGTTTGTTTTCACCTTATCCAAAACTGTTGTAACATATCACCTCACCCAAATGCAGGTATAAAATCATTGCTGTTTAAACTCTGTTTAGTGTTTGCAAGTTATAGTTGTGTGTGTAAACTAAAGTCTTTGAAAATGTAATAAGTTATTACGAAACGCGTTCACGTGTCGCGTCAGAGTACAAATAAAAATGAATTTTGGAGAATTGATTTTTCAATTACCATCAACAGTGAAAAGAAATATAAGAAATATTGAGAAAATTCGTGTTAGAATTATTAATCTTACTTTTTCGGTCATATTTAATAATATATATATATATATATATATATATATATATATATATATATATATATATATATATATATATATATATATATATATATATATATGTGTGTGTGTGTGTGTGTGTAAAATAGAAAGTTTGTCTGTCAAAAGTATGATATCAGATGCCATACACCTCACTAAACTTTCCAAGATGACACATGTGTAGTATGGGAGTCTCATAGGCTAGTCAAGAGCAGCCCCAGTGCCAACCTTAAAGATATATAAACAGCTACAGCAACCCCCCCCCCCCTTTTTTTTTGCAATTTCCAGGAAATCAGGAATGAATTTTCGGTGGAGCTCTAATGAGAGAGGCAGAGAAAAGAGAGAGAAGAAAAGAGAAGGAGGAGAGAAAAGACAGAGAGAGAGAGAGAGAGAGAGAGAGAGAGAGAGAGAGAGAGAGAGAGAGAGAGAGAGAGAGAGAGAGAGAGAGAGAGAGAGAGAGAGAGAGAGAGAGAGCCAAGAGTCAACACACACATGTCAATACCTCACATAATCCCGCAAAATGAAAGGTAAACACGATGTTTTCCTCTTGATATCGTACCCCTGGCAACCCGCGGGCGACTGTTGACTTAATGATGTGTTTAATTATGATAAATATCGTCTTGTTTATATTAGTTACGATGCCCTGTGGAGGATCCCAATTCCCTGTGGAGGATCCTAACTCCCTGTGGAGGACCCTAACTCCCCTGTAGAGGATCCTAACTCCCCCGTGGAGGGTCCTTACTCCCGGTGGAGGAGCCTAACTCCCTGTTGAGGATCCTAACTCCCGGTGGAGGATCCTAACTCCCTGTGGAGGACCCTAACTCCCCTGTAGAGGATCCTAACTCCCCCGTGGAGGGTCCTAACTTCCCCGTGGAGGATCCTTACTCCCGGTGGAGGAGCCTAACTCCCTGTTGAGGATCCTAACTCCCGGTGGAGGAGCCTAACTCCCAGTGGAGGAGCCTAACTCCCCCGTGGAGGGTCCTAACTTCCTGTGGAGGATCCTAACTTCCCGTGGAGGATCATAACTCCCCCGTGGAGGATCCTAACTCTCCGTGGAAGATCCTAACTCTTCTGTGGAGGATCCTAACTCTTCTGTGGAGGATCCTAACTTTCCCGTGGAGGATCATAACTCCCCCGTGGAGGATCCTAACTCCCCGTGGAAGATCCTAACTCTCCTGTGGAGGATCCTAACTCTCCCGTGGAGAATCCTAACTTTCCCATGGAGGATCCTAACTCCTCCATGGAGGATCCTAACTCTCCCGTGGAGGATCCCAACTCTCCCGTGGAGGACCCTAACTCCTCCGTGGAGGATCCTAACTCTCCGTGGAAGATCCTAACTCTCCTGTGGAGGATCCTAACTCCCCGTGGAGGATCCTAACTCTCCCGTGGAGGATCCTAACTCCCTGTGGAGGATCCTAACTTCCCCATGGAGGATCCTAACTCCTCCGTGGAGGATCCTAACTCTCCCGTGGAGGATCCTAACTCTCCCGTGGAGGATCCTAACTCTCCTGTGGAGGATCCTAACTCTCCCATGGAGGATCCTAACTCTTCCGTGGAGGATCCTAACTCCTCCGTGGAGGATCCTAACTCCTCCGTGGAGGATCCTAACTCCTCCGTGGAGGATCCTAACTCCTCCGTGGAGGATCCTAACTCCTCCGTGGAGGATCCTAACTCCTCCGTGGAGGATCCTAACTCTCCCGTGGAGGATCCTAACTCCTCCGTGGAGGATCCTAACTCCCCCGTGGAGGATCCTAACTCCTCCGTGGAGGATCCTAACTCTCCCGTGGAGGATCCTAACTCTCCCATGGAGAATCCTAACTCCTCCGTGGAGGATCCTAACTCCCCCGTGGAGGATCCTAACTCCTCCGTGGAGGATCCTAACTCCTCCGTGGAGGATCCTAACTCCTCCGTGGAGGATCCTAACTCCCTGTGGAGGATCCTAACTCCTTCATGGAGGAACCTAACTACTCCGTAGAGAATCCTAACTCCCCCGTGGAGGATCCTAACTCCTCCATGGAGGATCCTAACTCCTCCATGGAGGATCTTACTCCTCTGTGGAGGATTCTAACTCCTTCATGGAGGATCTTACTCCTCCGTGGAGGATCCTAACTACTCCGTAGAGGATCCTAACTCCCTTGTGGAGGATCTTACTCCTCCGTGTAGGATCCTAACTCCTCCATGGAGGATCTTACTCCTCCGTGGAGGATCCTAACTCCTCCATGGAGGATCTTACTCCTCTGTGGAGGATCCTAACTCCTCCGTGGAGGATCCTAAGTCCTCCGTGGAAGATCCTAACTCCTTCGTGGAGGATCCTAACTCCTCCATGGAGGATCTTACTCCTCCGTGGAGGATCCTAACTCCTCCGTGGAGGATCCTAACTCCTTCGTGGAGGATCCTAGCTCCTCCATGGAGGATCTTACTCCTCCGTGGAGGATCCTAAGTCCTCCGTGGAGGATCCTAACTCCTTCGTGGAGGATCCTAACTTCTCCATGGAGGATCTTACTCCTCCGTGGAGGATCATAACTCCTCGGGGAATGTGTGGAGTGAGTGTATATTTAGCATGTTAATGGACTTCAACATGGGAGCTGTGTGTTGTCTGAAGACAGTTTGTTATCGTTCTGGTGGCAGATATTTGCTGAGTGATGATGGGTAATTAGAGGTACTAGAGGTAGTGTGCAGTGGTTGAACCCCTAGCACAGATACCGTGTGTAAGATGGCGACAGATTAGCGCGTAGTGTAGTGATAGGAGAGCAGCGTGTGAACATAATATATGATTTTTTGAGAATATAAGTTCAGTTTTAGAGGGTTTTTGGCTGTGTTTAAAGTTTAGGGTCCCCGCAGTGGAGTCGGATTCATTCTCGACTCACAATCGCAATAATTCCTCAGTAATTCCTCCCTAGGGGGGGGGGGAGGAGGGGGACCTTGAAATAAGCCTAGTACCAACTGGTAACCAGTTGGTACTCCTGAGATCCTTCCTTTCTGTTGGCTGCCATGGCAAGTTGGTATGCCAACAGTCTCGGGCTACCTAGATCAGAGTTCGAATCTCCAGTTAATCTAGTGAATGGATATGTTATCAGCCATTGTGCAGTGCATATATATAACGTTACAGATGTGTTAAAGAGTTGAGCACAACTGAGGGTAATGCAAAACACTCATCAATAATTGAAATATGGCAACAAGGCGCTCGGGGCCAGAGGTGCGCGCGAAGACACTCCTTTGTTAACTGAAGCGGAGGCGCCACCCAGACGGGACTATACCTTGAGCCAGCGAGTGACGGCCATATACATCCATTCACATCCTCTCCATCCTTAACTTCTCGCACTAGAAGAGCCCATATATATATAGCCTGCACGGCTACATTATATGATGTATAATTTGACCTTGATTATAGGTCTTCGACGGAGCTCATTAACTATCCTATTTAGTCGATAACGATTATTAAGCGGCTATAATTGAGAGCAAATTGCCACACAAATGTGCAGAAAATGTCTATGTCACCTTTTTAATACAAAAAATAAAGGCTGGAAGGATTTAAAATATTATCAGAATTAGAATTCATTATAATTCTAATTATAATTCTAAACAGAAGTATTAGAATTCATTAAATTAGTACGATTAGCAACGTTTGACTTTATAACCTGCCAACGTTGAAACAAGGTAGTATTGGCCATTGAACCCGTACTGGCCGCGCTCCAGTTGACCTCTGAGCCCCCAACAGGTCAACATGCAGCAGGTGGGGTCAAGGCCTCTCAACAGTGGAGGTCAATATGCTTTTATCGTCATGTCTTAAAGGTGGCTTAAGTGAAGGTGAGAGACACGTATATAGTCACCTTTTTATGGATAAGAGTTCAACCACGCATGCGCATTGTGGCCCTCAGATACTTTTACAAATAAAGTTGTCAACCTTACTTCTCAATTGTGTAATTATTTCTTATTGATGTGACTGCCCTGTTATAAGTGACTTCAGACCTAATGATATGAGGTACTTTGAGCTCTGTAATTACTTCATACACTCAGGAATATGGAAGATTTGGGGGGTAGAAATAGCCTAAGCTACTCTATCCCTTTGAGATGTATTTATTGCTTATCTCAATAAACATACTTGAACTTGAACTTGAATTGGAAGATATTCTTGTGCTGTGCCCAAATTGTGCTAGTGGGGGCTAATACATATTAGCCTTACATATTATTCCCTCTCCTGACTTTAAGTCATAGTTGGTTGGTTTTTGTATTAATAAGGCAGGTATTATCTCCCCTGATTCCATGTATGACTAACTATCCTGTGAGATGGGGATAATAATTGAACTTATAGATAATATGAACTTATCAATTGAACTTGATCAACACTGTTCAATATCTCATATAGAATAGGGTAGCAACACATTGTTGTATATACCTAATTTTGCTAATGGGGAAAAATGAAGTTAAAAACATTTTTAATGTTTCTTCTAATTCTTAATAAGCTGATAAATTGATATGTTTCTTTTATAAATCTTTGTAATTACTGTAATTTTTTGTTTTTTGTGGGTTGGGAGGCGAGCAGACTTCAGCCCTGAAGTAACTAGTTATTAACTAATTCTATTTTTCGACTCGCCTTAAGTGGATTATTGGTAGGCTTAGGCTCGCCAACACTTTTATAAGCGCCTCTGAAAGTTTACCTCAGTTGTTGATGTAGATCTAAGTAAATGTAAACCCTGTTTACATTTTCCATTTCCCTATTTACAAACCCATTCTCAAGTCGATTGGACAATCGACTTGAGAATGGTCCAGGACGGACCGAAACGTCGTCGTCCCTTCACCTTCTAGTGTGTGGTCTGGTCAACATACTTTAGCCACGTTATTGATATAAACCCTGATTTGAACTATTAACATGCCTCGCGTCACTACTGAATGTGAAGAAATCCAAGATCTAGATTATCAAAAATGTAAACTATTGTACTTTGATGTAAACTGTTGTACACCTGTTGATTCGACCATATCGTGTAAGGATTGACATAAGTGGTTACGGACATCGCTTCTAGCTCTGAATTTGACAACTGTAATGATTTTTAAATCATTGATAAATGTAGCTTATAAATCAAAATCTTGTTATAATTTCAAATATACATTTGTATATAATTTCAAATATATACATCAGGTAATTTCTCCTGAGACTGATGGATGCCTACTGATACATGTTATGACTTGGGTAAATGATTTACGTTTAAACTCGTGTAAATGAACACATTATAAATGTACTATTCTGTATCACAAGTTACTGGTGAACTGCTGTGTGGGTAGAGAATGTTGATTTAGTTCGTCAGTGCTATCACCTTGCTTAGCTAGTTGCTAGCACTGTCGCCCGGCAGCTTCTTAGGAACCACCGCTTGTTAAGTTCAGCTCTCCGCCTGTTTACAAGGTGCTATATAGTGGCCCGTTATGATGGTCGTTTGCTCTCCCTCCCTGCTGACGCTTGTACCGTAACTGGGTTTTTTTTTTTTAGATATATACAAGAGTTGTTACATTCTTGTACAGCCACTAGTACGCGTAGCGTTTCGGGCAGGTCCCTGGAATACGATCCCCGCCGCGAAGAATCGTTGTTACAACCAAGTACACATTTTACTGTTGAGTTAAACAGAGGCTACAGTTAAGGATTTTGCGCCCAGTAAATCCTCCCAGACTAGGATACGAACCCATGACAGAGCGCTCGCGGAACGCCAGGCGAGTGTCTTACCACTACACCACGGAGACTGTAAAGACTGTTTCTGCTGCTCCCTCGCCTATGTGGTGCTGCATGGGGTCCCCCTTCCAGTTCTCGGACAAGTTAATACGACGTTTCTGTGGTAACTATGGGACCATAGTGTCCCTATCTCTTCAGGCAGGTGGACGGGTGTCTGGGACGTGTGTTAGGTGTGGCACGGCACCAGTGGCGGACTGCTGCGGTGTGGCGCCGGCTCTCGTGAAGTTGTTTAGGGAGGAGGACTTTCCCCGTTGGTGGCTCCGGACCTGTCGTCTTGTGATGGCGTGGTGGAGGAGGCTTCCCTGCCGTCTGCTGGGAAGCCTCCTCCACCACGCCACCTTGGTGGTGGGGGTGGTCGTGCGTGGGGACCCGCCCTCGCCTCCTCCGGCTGTGTCTGCTCCGTCTTCAGTTTCCGTGTCAGGTGTGCTGTGTGGGCTTGTGCCCTCCGCCGTCGAGGCTGCTGTGCTTCGGGATCACATTCTGCGCGGTGTGATGCAGCCGGCCGGGTGTTCTCCTCGGATGCCCCCTGCTGGTGGCGACAGTTGAGATGATCAACAGCCTGTGTCTGAGCGTTCTAGGATAGCTGGGAGTGTGTCGCCCCCTCGTGAGTGGGCTGCCGTGTGTGATAATAGGGATTCTGAGGGCATCAGAATCCCTAGGGAGGGACTCCATAGTCCCTATGGAGGGACTTTGGTTTCTGCTTCGGCTGCCTCGCCATCGTCAGTTTGTTCCCCGTGGGGGGGTGGTGCCCCCTGTCGAGGATGTTAGTAGGCCTCGTGGGTTGGTGCTGGTCCTGATAAAGGATGTTCGCCTGATGGATTCCGTGCCCCCGCCCCCTGTTCCATCGGCGGCGGAGTTACCGCCTCTCCGACCTTCGTCTTCGATGTTCCCTGCTCGGGTGGGGTCGCCTCCGCCCGGGGCACCGCCTGACTTAGTCATTCTGGAGTTCATGGTGCGCCTGCGTCGTCGTGAACGTCTGCCCTACATATGAGGAGTGGTTGATTTGGAATGTGTACTGTAAGCGGTATCTGGTGTGTAAGTTTCCAGAGAAATATGGGGGATATATTGACTTTGTTCCTGTTACTCCAGGGGCCAGATTCACGAAAGCACTTACGCAAGCACTTACGAACGTGTACATCCTCAATCTTTGATAAGAACATAAGAACAAAGGTAACTGCAGAAGGCCTATTGGCCCATTCGAGGCAGCTCCTATTCTATAACCACCCAATCCCACTCATATACTTGTCCAATCCGCGCTTGAAACAATCGAGGGACCCCACCTCCACCACGTTACGCGGCAATTGGTTCCACAAATCAACAACCCTGTTACTGAACCAGTATTTACCCAAGTCTTTCCTAAATGATGCCTTTGGTTACATTTATTAAACAGTTTACAAGCATGAAAACTTCCCATTCAACTGTTGATATTGTTATAAACAGCCTCCTGGTGCTTCGGAGCTCATTAACTGTTTAATAATTGTAAACAAAGCCGCCAAAGATTGAGAAAAGATGTACAGGTTCGTAAGTGTTTTCGTGAATCTGGCCCCTGGTTCCTATGCGTTCCAGTGTTTTGTTTCCGTGCGGGGGTGTGGATGGATGTTTTTTGTTTCCCCGGTTCCTGCGTGTTTGTGTGTGTGTACGTGTGGTTGTGGTGTTTGTGGTTGCGTGTGGGGTTGGGGTTCTCTTGTCCCCGGTTCCTGCGTGTTCCGGAATGTCTGCTTGTGGGTTTGGGTGTGTGGTTGTGGTTCTGTTTTCCGATCCCTGCGCGTTCAGGTGTTTGTTTTGGTGTGTGGCTGTGGGGGGATTTTTGTTTTGTTTAATTATGTCATGCTTTTTCTTCTTGTATTTCTTGTAGTTTCACAGTCTCCGTGGTGTAGTGGTAAGACACTCGCCTGGCGTTCCGCGAGCGCTATGTCATGGGTTCGTATCCTGGCCGGGGAGGATTTACTGGGCGCAATTCCTTAATTGTAGCCTCTGTTTAACGCAACAGTAAAATGTGTACTTGGTTGTAACAACGATTCTTCGCGGCGGGGATCGTATTCCAGGGACCATAGGATTAAGGACTTGCCCGAAACGCTACGCGTACTAGTGGCTGTACAAGAATGTAACAACTCTTGTATATATCTCAAAAAAAAAAGTTAGATTTATGAATAAAGTTCTGTATTTCCCGGTTCGTGTGTGTTCCGGTCCTGTATTTCCCGGTTCGTGTGTTCCGGTCCTGTATTTCCCGGTTCGTGTGTGTTCCGGTCCTGTATTTCCCGGTTCGTGTGTGTTCCGGTCCTGTATTTCCCGGTTCGTGTGTGTTCCGGTCCTGTATTTCCCGGTTCGTGTGTTCCGGTCCTGTATTTCCCGGTTCGTGTGTGTTCCGGTCCTGTATTTGTGTGGGTTGGTTTTTTGTGTTTACTGTGTGGTCCTTCCGGCTTGTTGTGTCTCGTGTTCCAATATTCATTGTCATGTGTTTCCTCGGTGTCCATGATTGTGTTTCTGTGTATGTGTTTTGTGTTTCCTGTTTTGTGCTCTGTTTCATTGTTTGTGTTTATCTCTTACCGTTCTTGAGTTGATGTACCATGTAAGGTGTTCATTCTGAGATTTTTGTTGCCCGGGTCTGGGTTTATGTTGTTGTTCTTCGTGTCATGTAATTTCTTATTGTATTTCTTGTACTTTTATAAACAAAAATTGCTTAGCTAATGAAACTGTGGGGGGGGGGGAGATGGTTGAGTTCCGGAGCCTATTGTGTCTCCTGTAGCCTATTTTTTTTCTATTGCTGCTAACAGGATGGGGTATAGAGCGCCTCTGTACCACTAGCACCACCACCAATAGGATAGATATGTACCGTATTAGTGGTGTTTGCATGATTGATTGATTGATGAAGATTAAGCCACCCAAAAGGTGGCACGGGCATGAATAGCCCGTAAGTGGTTGCCCTTTTGAGCCATTACCAGTATCAAAAGCTGATACTGGAGATCTGTGGAGGTGCGAATGCACCCTGCATGACGGGAGATGTCTCCTTTGTGAATGTGTTAAGATGAAGATGAAGCCACCCAAAAGGTAGCACGGGTATGAATAGCTCGTAAGTGGTGGCCCTTTTGAGCCATTACCAGTATCAATAGAAGATACTGGAGATCTGTGGAGGCGCGACTGCACCCTGCGTGACGGGAGATGTCTCCCGTGGTGTTTGCATCCTATCGATTCGTATATATATGCGTTATATATATAGGGCACCTCACAAGGGAGACATCTCCCGTCACGCAGGGTGCAGTTGCACCTCCACAGATCTCCAGTATCAGCTCTTGATACTGGTAATGGCTCAAAAGGGCCACCATTTACGGGCTATTCATGCCCGTGCCACCTTTTGGGTAGCTTAATCTTCATCAATCAATCATCAGGACGCCTCACATACACATTCCCCCAGGTAGCAATACGAGGGAACATTTGACAAGCCACTGGTATTCTCTCCTAGCCGAGGCTGCCACAGAGAAATGGTCTCCTCTGGATAATTCAAGTAAACAAACACACAACAAAAGATACAAAGACATGCCACTAAGGGGCTCCCAGAACTGAAGGACAAGAGCTACGAGGAGAGGTTAGAGGCATTAATGGGGGGTAGAAATAGCCTAAGCTACTCTATCCCTTTGAGATGTATTTATTGCTTATCTCAATAAACATACTTGAACTTGAACTTGAGGCATTAAATATGCCAAAAACTAGAAGCTAGAAGAGGCGATATGATCACTACGTACAAAATAGTAACAGGCATCGATAACATTGATAGGGAAGAATTCCTGAGACGTGCTGGAACTTCAAGACCAAGAGGTCATAAATTTAAACTAATGAAACAAAGCTGCCGGAGTTATATAAGAAAATTCTTATAATAATTAATAAGTAATTTCCGTCAGTAATTTTAAAGCGTTATACGACAGAGTACTGGGAAGACGGGACACTACGAGCGTAGCTCTCAAACTGTAACTACAGTTAGGTAATTACACTTAGGAAATTACATAACACAGTTAGTTTAGTTCACTTATTATGCACCCGATACCCATCTTGTGGGCGGTAGTGGAAAGGGTTACAGAGGCACATAATGGGCTCAGGGACTGAACCCCACAATACATTTAGCTAAGCAAGTTACAATCTTGATGAGCTAGTTACAAAATTCAATATAAGTCGTCACATCAACAATGGGTTCGAGATCGACCACAAGTACAGTTTCTAAATTAAGCACCTTTTCTCTCTCTTTTATTTATACAACACATAAATACAATATAAAAACAGTTACCAAAGCACAATTACACAGTGAGTTAGATAGCACACACATGACTCATAATAAAATTGAAATAACCAACACAAAACAGGTGATTAAACAACCCGTCCCTCAGCACAGAAGGAAAATTACAGTAGTGACGAATAAAGGCGTACGATGGGGAACATAAATGAACACTACACAAGGAGAAAGCATATATCCATCCACTTCACCATGTACAAAACCCATAAAACACTTGAAAACATTAGTACCATTTTACCCAAAGAAAACATCTCCCAAAACGCCCCACTATAATAATAATAATAATAATAATAATAATAATAATAATAATAATAATAATTTTTATTTAGGCAAAGGTACATACATAAAGAGATTTTACAAAGTTTGTTGGCTTTATAGATAGAGCTAGTACATACAATGCCTAAAGCCACTATTACGCAAAGCGTTTCGGGCAGGAAAAAACACTAATGACTAAAGCTTGAATAAACTTGACTAAACACAAAAGGCATACAGACCAAAAAGCCGGACACATAATACAAAAACAAAGACTAATTTTAAATTAAGCAACTGACATATGTGGAGAGCTAGTGTCAGCAGTTGATATATTTGTTCTGCACACCGCCTCCTATCCAGTGGGCAGCGGTGGATAGGTATACATATATAGCGAGTAAATCTTATACTCGCTCCATTATCTCATTGTCTTAATAGCATAACTAAATAGCACTAATTACAGAAGCTACAATCCTTTCCCCAATTACATGGTGATTACACCTCAGCTCCCTCCAACAAGATGAGAAGAGGTGTAATTGGGGAAAGGATTGTAGCTTCTGTAATTAGTGCTAATTAGTCATGCTATTAAGATAATGTTTTGTTTGAGGCGAGTATAAGATTTATTCGCTACACATAACACACACACCAGAAAAATCATTGGTCATCAGCGACATCTTTTACCGCGCGAAAGTGAAATTTGGCGGGCTTTTGGTCCCGGTTGTCGGTTAGTGTTTATTATGGTGGAATATGTGGCGGGTTTCCCGGGAGATCTTGTCCGGACCACAACACCCTCCCTCCCTGCTGCTCCTGCTCTCATCTCTGCATTTCAAGCCTTGTCGGCCACATTTATCAGTTTCCTTGTGTACTTGAGAGTCCCCGGAGCTTCCTGCAGCTTGTGAGTTGTGTGTGTGTTCCGTTTTGGGCGGTGGATTGGTTTAAAAGGGGGGATTTTTGTTGGTTAAAATGTTCTTTGTGGTTGGTTTATACATGTGCTCCTAACAGGTGATTGGCGGATTTAACTGTTGTTATTCTTGTTTGTTTCATGTATGGGTTTTGTCTTGACCTGACCAGATGCGTTGCGTGAGGAATAGGAGGGGGGGGGGGGGGCTGTTGGGAATAGGTCAACTGTGACCCCAGACCAGTTTGGTCCAAAACTGTTGTGTTGGCGTGAACGTTCTGACCTTGTGGTGATGTCAACACATCGTGTGTAAAATGCAGAGTTGTGTCCAGTTTCCATTAGGGTGGAATGGGTTAGGTTAGGTTATATATATAACTTGTGAATATATATATGTTTGTAAATCACGAAAATTAACACGTGATGAAAAATGTGAGTGTCAGACCATGAAGGAAGAATTGAAACAAAAATTTCCTTAAGTACTTTAGTATTTAATACTACATCTTTAGAAGGAAATTGATTTCCTTCTGAAGATGTATTATTAAATATGGAAGTACTTAAGTAATTTTTAATTTTCTTTGTACTTTTTAATTCGTACTCTTTAATTTTCGTGATTTACACACACACACACACACCTATATACATAGGTTGTATATATAACCTTAACCTAACCCAATCCATCATACCCTAATGAAAACTGGACACAAATCTGTATTTTACACATACACACACTTTATAAAACCTTACATATAAAAAACACACACATTCACCTTTTATAAAAGGAAATGTGTGAAACATTAAACGAAAAGTTCCAAAGTGTGTTTGTACAAAATGAAATCTTCAGAGAACCAGACATAGTAAGAATTCCAGAGAACAACATAGAGCGTATAGAGGTGTTTAGAGACGAAGTGGAAAATATGCTCAAGGAGCTAAATAAGAACAAAGCAGTTGGTCCAGATGAGGTTTCACCATGGGTTCTGAGAGAATGTGCACCTGAGCTCAGCATTCCACTTCACCTGATTTTTCAGGCATCCCTGTGTACAGGAGTTGTAGCTGATGTGTGGAAACAGGCTAACATAGTTCCAATCTACAAAAGTGGAAGCAGGGAAGACCCCCTTAATTATAGACCTGTATCATTGACAAGTGTAATAGTCAAAATATTGGGAAAAATAATACAAACTAAATGGGTAGAACACCTGGAGAGAAATGATATAATATCAGACAGACAGTATGGTTTTCGATCTGGAAGATCCTGTGTATCGAATTTACTCAGTTTCTATGATAGAGCCATAGAGATTTTACAGGAAAGAGATGGTTGGGTTGACTGCATCTATCTGGACCTAAAAAGGGCTTTTGACAAAGTTCCACATAAGAGGTTGTTCTGGAAATTGGAAAATATTGGAGGGGTGACAGGTAAGCTTCTAGCATGGATGAAAAATTTTCTGACTGATAGAAAAATGAGGGCAGTAATCAGAGGCAATGTATCGGAATGGAGAAATGTCACAAGTGGAGTACCACAGGGTTCAGTTCTTGCACCAGTGATGTTTATTGTGTACATAAATGATCTACCAGTTGGTATACAGAATTATATGAACATGTTTGCTGATGATGCTAAGATAATAGGAAGGATAAGAAACTTAGATGATTGTCATGCCCTTCAAGAAGACCTGGACAAAATAAGTATATGGAGCACCACCTGGCAAATGGAATTTAATGTTAATAAATGTCATGTTATGGAATGTGGAATAGGAGAACATAGACCCCATACAACCTATATATTATGTGAGAAATCATTAAAGAATTCTGATAAAGAAAGAGATCTAGGGGGTGGTTCTAGATAGAAAACTATCACCTGAGGACCACATAAAGAATATTGTGCAAGGAGCCTATGCGATGCTTTCTAACTTCAGAATTGCATTTAAATACATGGATGGCGATATACTAAAGAAATTGTTCATGACTTTTGTTAGGCCAAAGCTAGAATATGCAGCTGTTGTGTGGTGCCCATATCTTAAGAAGCACATCAACAAACTGGAAAAGGTGCAAAGACATGCTACGAAGTGGCTCCCAGAACTGAAGGGCAAGAGCTACGAGGAGAGGTTAGAAGCATTAAATATGCCAAAACTAGAAGACAGAAGAAAAAGAGGTGATATGATCACTACATACAAAATAGCAACAGGAATTGATAAAATCGACAGGGAAGATTTCCTGAGACCTGGAACTTCAAGAACAAGAGGTCATAGATTTAAACTAGCTAAACACAGATGCCGAAGAAATATAAGAAAATTCACCTTCGCAAACAGAGTGGTAGACGGTTGGAACAAGTTAAGTGAGAAGGTGGTGGAGGCCAAGACCGTCAGTAGTTTCAAAGCGTTATATGACAAAGAGTGCTGGGAAGACGGGACACCACGAGCGTAGCTCTCATCCTGTAACTACACTTAGGTAATTACACACACACACACACACAATGAATTGATATTAGTTCATAATTAATAAGTTCCTAAGTACAATTATACTACAACCTTAACCATGACTGGCATTGCATGACTCGCCTTACCTTTTACCTTGAGATGGTTTCGGGGCTTGGCATCCCTGCAGTCCGGTCCTTGACCAGGCCTCTCAACAATTTAGTTTTGCCCTGTTCTCAGACCATGCTGTTACATTGTTATTTCGCCGACTCGCAATCAAATGGCACATCTTCCAGTGTGATTCTACAAAAATTCATTAGGTACGGGTGACGGACTGATTTTTCCTACCAATACATTCCTTGCAGCAATGCATTCTTTAGGTAGGCAAATAGTGTGTGCTCGCACTTCACAATATCGTGCACGATGAATAATTATGTGAACCAGATGATGCCTTCCAAACTCCATGTGACACCAGATGGTATAGTTGTATAATTAGCAGTCCCTGTGGTGTATTTGGTAAGACGTTTGCCTGGTGTTTCACAAACGCCTTGTCTTGGGTTCGTATCCTGGCCAGGGAGGATTTACTGGGAGTGAATCCTTAACTGTAGCCTCTGTTCACCCAACAGTAAAATGGGTACCTGGTTGGTAAACGATTTGTCGGGGTCGTATTCCGGGGAATATTAGGATTAAGGACTTGCCAGAAATGCTATACGTGCTAGTGGCTGTACAAGAATGTACACTTGTATATAAATATTATTTATAAAATGCTATACATGATTCAATATATTCAGACATACAAATATGTATCATTAGTTATAAGAACAATCAAAATTTCACTTAAATCTTGTTCATGTATAGAACAATATGAGTGGAACTTTCATGGAAGCAGTGTAGTATTGGCATTTTTTTAATTGGGACAACCCCAGGCCTTTGGCAATTCCACAATTTGGTGGTTGCATTCATGGTGTCCATCATGGGTTAGATTTTTTAAGCTAGATTCACTGTCGAGTTAAGCAGTGTGTGCTGTTAGTTAATATCACCTCGTGAGTAAATGCCAGTAGTATAATTAATCTAGCCTTGTGATTAGCATTTGCTTGAGAATGGCACAGAGTAGCTTACATATGACGTACAGTATGGTAAAGTCAAACACAAGTATTTCGACAGCTCTTTCTATTTGTTAAAACTGTATGTATCATTTGGTTAGGCTGTGTTCAGTTTGGATACATTAGGTGGGGTTGGTTTAAAAATATTTTAGCACTCGCCTCGTGTATAGATTGATTTGTATCCCTTGCGTACAGTATATCCACAATTGGCAGGTGAATTCGGCAGTGTGATATACTATACAATTTCTGGGGGGAGCCCCGTCGGCTCCCCGGAGCTATCCAGGCTGAATGGATATGTATAACTTGCTGGCATCAGTCAATGCATGTAGTTCTTGTCTACCGGGGACCACGAGCCAGAACCTGGCCCCCTCTAGAGAGGCACGAGGAGCAATGGCCTATAGAGACCCCCCCCTTATGATTGGGTGCATACTATGTGTGCCATTGACTGGGATAGGCACCCAGAAAGGTAGTCGCCCCAAAATAAACTCCTATTCTGGTAAACTATTGCGACCGAAGACCGAACAGGTGGACAGAACTCCCCAAACGAAAATTGGCAAACAAGCGTGGCGTCATCTTGTCACTGCACGCTGCTGTCTGCGCAACCCTCTCCCCCCCCCCCTCCCCGGGAGGGGGAAGGGGGAGCCCCAGACCCCACCGTCGGCGACCCAACAATCGGTTCTTAGGCTGATGGGTAGTGTGAGCTGACCCTTCCGGTGGTGTGTGGGGCCAGGAGTGATATTCCACAGTGCTCGGGCTGCATGCGCCTAGGGTCACCTTCCCTAGGTGCCCTGTAAGTACTGCCCTTGGGGTTTAAGGCCACCTTCCCTAGGTCACCTTGGGGTCTACCTCCGCTGTGCCGTTTACTGCTCGGTACTTGGCCGCCCTTGGGGTCGGCTGGGGGTTTTCCTTGCCCATGTTTGTCTCTGGGTAGGTGGTAGTTTTCGTCACTGGCAGGGGCGCGGGGTACTGCACAGCTAGTTTTCGCCATTAACAGCGGCCGGCTCTGTTCCGCCTGTGTACATTGTCCTCTTGCGGGGATTTTTCTTTTGTTTTTGCTTTCTGCCTAGTGGGGGGGGGTGTCTGCCTGTTGGTCCCCCATCGCAGTTCTTGGGGTATATCTATATCTTTATTTCTCCATTTTGTGTTGGTGGTCCTCCCCGCTTGGCCCCCGTGAGTGTACACTTCCCGGGGGTTCAGCTATAGCAGTTTGTTTGGTAGTTTTGGATGCTGGTTCGCAGTACCCTGCCTGGGCTTCCCTTAGTGTGTATCCAAGGCTAAGGGCCCTAGAAAACCCCACGGGGGCTACGTGGTCCAATGGATGTGACCTCCGAATTCCCCCTCACGTCCTGCGAGTTTGAAGGGTGCTCTGTCCCCTTGTCTCAGGGGGCCACTCACCGGTTTTGCCTCCGCCATGCTGCCTGTTGGGTGTGTTGTCTGTACGTACTCCAATTCATCCAGGCTACTGTGCCTGATATGTGGGTGAGGGCAGCCGAGGCATTGCATGCTCGCTTTAGGTTGCTGTCCCGGATGCCCCGCCCACAATTCGTAGGCTTTTTCAGGTCATTTCGTACGGCCTGTGGTGGCGTTGGGTGGCTCTTCCTCCCTTGAGGGGAGGGGTTCGGGGCTGGCGGGGCAAGCCTCTTCTCCTGCACTCTGTCGGGTCATCTCGGAGTGGGTTTGCTTGGGCGTGGTCAAAACGACAGAATTATATGAACATGTTTGCTGATGATGCTAAGATAATAGGAAGGATAAGAAACTTAGATGATTGTCATGCCCTTCAAGATGACCTGGACAAAATAAGTATATGGAGCACCACTTGGCAAATGGAATTTAATGTTAATAAATGCCATGTTTTGGAATGTGGAATAGAACATAGACCCCACACAACCTATATATTATGTGAGAAATCTTTAAAGAATTCTGATAAAGAAAGACATCTAGGGGTGGTTCTAGATAGAAAATTATCACCTGAGGACCACATAAAGAATATTGTGCGAGGAGCCTATGCCACACTTTCTAACTTCAGAATTGCTTTTAAATACATGGATGGCGATATACTAAAGAAATTGTTCACGACTTTTGTTAGGCCAAAGCTAGAATATGCAGCAGTTGTGTGGTGCCCATATCTTAAGAAGCACATCAACAAACTGGAAAAGGTGCAAAGACATGCTACTAAGTGGATCCCAGAACTGAAGGGCAAGAGCTATGAAGAGAGGTTAGAGGCATTAAATATGCCAAAACTGGAAGACAGAAGAAAAAGAGGTGATATGATCACTACATATAAAATAGTAACAGGAATTGATAAAATTGATAGGGAAGATTTCCTGAGACCTGGAACTTTAAGAACAAGCGGTCATAGATATAAACTAGCTAAACACAGATGCTGAAGAAATATACGAAAATTCACTTTCGCAAACAGAGTGGTAGACGATTGGAACAAGTTAGGTGAGAAGGTGGTGGAGGCCAAGACCGTCAGTAGTTTCAAAGCGTTATATGACAAAGAGTGCTGGGAAGACGGGACACCACGAGCGTAGCTCTCATCCTGTAACTACACTTAGGTAATTACACTTGGGTAATTACTATGAGGTTTCCTGGCGGTCCTTCCGGTTTTTCCTATCACTGTGTTGGTTTTCTTCAGTCTCTGATAGGGTTATTCTGTCCTTTCTCTCTTGGTTGTTTCAGGACTGTCATCTTATGCCGAATATTGTCGCTTTGTATCGTGCGACGTTGGCGGAGCTGCTTTAGCTTGCTTTTGGTGTTGATGTTCCTGCTGCCCCGTTTCGCAAGTTGTCTCGTGTGTTGTTTCACCTCCGGCCTGCTCATGCGCCGCCTGAGCCGTCTTGGTCTTTGGACCGCGTGCTCTTGTTTCTCTCTCTGCCTTGGTTTGTTCTGGCCCCTTCCGTTCGGGATTGTTTTTTTAAGGCTCTTTTCCTGTTAGCATTGGCCTCGGGGGGGTCGGGTTGGAGCTTCATGCTCTCCTCCGGCACTGAGGTTTCTGCTCTTTTGGTCCTGGTGGTCGTTTTGTCCGCTTGCAGCCGTCTCCCTCTTTTCTGGTGAAGAATGAGACTGCTGCGTTCCAGAGGGGGCCGTGGGTTGTTGATGCTTGGTTGGTCAGGCCAGGGATGCATCATGTGTTGTGTCCGGTTGCGACTCTCCGTCGTTATTTGTGCGCAACGGCTTCTGTTGCCGAGGATGCGCTCTGGGTTGATCCGGTTTCCCTTCTTCCCTGTTCCCGGGCTCGGGTCTCGGGTTGTCCTCAGGGTTTTAGGTGTAGCCAGCCTGCTGTTTTTCCCCAGGCCCACGACGTTCGTAAATTTGCTGCTTTGGCTGCCGTCTTTGGCAACATGTCTTGGGTGGACATTCGGGCCTGGGGTTTTTGGAGATCGAATAGGGTCCTGGCCGTTCGCTACCTGGTGAATGTTCCTGGGCCTGGTGGGGCCTGCATTGCTTTGGGTCAGCAGTTGCAGCCAGTTGTTTCGACTTCGCGTTGAGGAGCAAGGACGGACCTCCGCACGGGTAAGTCCGTTTTTTCCTTATCTTTGGGTAGTTAGCTCCAGGGAGCCGACAAGGCTCCCTCAAGAAAAGCAGCGTTGAATGTTATGAAACGCCATTTGCTGGGTGAGTCCCGGAGGCTCCCCGGCATCCCTCCCTCCTTCCGGTCGGCAGTGTTTTCGCGTTTTGACATCCAGGCTAAGAACTAATGGTTGGGTTGCCGATGGTGGGGTCTGGGGCTCCCCCACTTCCCCCTCCCGGGGAGGGGGGGGGTTCGCAGACAGCGGCACGGCGACATGATGGCGTCATGCTTGTTTGCTAATTTTCGTTTGGGGAGTTCTGTCCACCTGATCGGTTTTTGGTCGCAATAGTTTACCAGAATAGGGGGTTTGTTTTGGGGCGCCTACCTTTCTGGGGGGCCTATCCCGGTCGATGGCAGACTTAGAATGCTCCCAATCATAAGGTGGGGTCTCTATAGGCCATTGCTCCTCGTACCTCTCTAGGGGTGCCAGATTCTGGCTCATGGTCCCCGGTAGGTAAGAACTCCATGCATTGACTGATGCCAGAAAGTTATATATATCCATTCAGCCTGGATAGCTCCGGGGAGCCTCTGGGACTCGCCCAGAAAATGGCGTTTCATTACATTCAACGGTGGTTTTTTTTATCAGGGACAAAAAACCTGTGTACTGGTGTGTGTATATATTATTCTTTTAGACTTGTCAAGGTCTCTCCAAAGTTGACCTGCAGACCTTCCTTAGGCTGCAATCCCACAACAGTTGCACGACTCTTGGGGGGGTAACTCGGGTACCTAGTTACCACTAGATGAACCGAGACATTTGATGAAGGGAAAACGTGCCTAACTATTTCTCTTGCCTGGGAATCAAACCTGGTATCCCCAATTTTGAGTTGAGAATGAAGCCAACAAACAGTGCGTGGTACAATGTTGTATCTGCTTGTGTGAGCCGTGACCTCCGTCTGTCAGGCTTTACCTTTTACCTATCAGTTGTATGGTGTAAATTCATTATATCTGAGCATGCACAAGAGATGATATGATCAACCATGAAGTTTTCTTGTCACTTAAAAATATCTTCTTTGTTTCAGGCCATCATTATGGAAGAGCACGAGGTCAACTGCAGTGTGTGCCTGGAACCGTTTCACGAGGAGCTGCACAGTCCTCGCACACTGAGATGCGGCCATACATTTTGCACTCCTTGTATAGAGGCGCTCTTGCAACGATCTCATCAAGACAGAATCTGTCCCGAGTGCCGTAAGCCTTTGAAGATCTCTGCCGTGGCTCACATTCCTGTCAGCTACACGATACTTAGGCTGTCACGTGCTCTTAGTAGTGCAAATTCGGATCCGCACATTAGGGTTCAAATTGAAGATGGAGAAGCGTGCTTGGTTCACGGTGCGCCAATAATATCATGGTGTCAACCCTGCAATAATTGGCTGTGCCGAGAGTGTATGTGTAAAAAGGAATGCACGACCTCCATGAACCTTTCTGAGGCTCTGCTCTACTTAAAGCAAACATATGTAGATGGAGCTGAAAAGAGCCTTTCCATTCTTACAGACAAGAAGGCCCTTTTTGTAAAAGGGAAACAAAAAATTGATCAAGAAATGTTAGAACTTCGACAAAAATCTGCCAAGTTGGACGAGGCCCTGAAAAAACTTGACGAAGGCATCATCGCGCTGGAAGAGTACGAAGCGAAAGCTGTAGAGGCTAGTTCGTCCAGAAGATTAGTCCGCGTATTGAATAAAACGAACACTTACGTTGCCGACATAAACACTTGGCTTAAGGATCTGGTTCAGGAGTCGGCACTTGAAGCCCCATCTAAAACAGTGTTGCCCACCACCGTGCCGGCGGTACCAACACCTGAAGTTCCACTCTCTGGACCAATTGACTTTGTGGTAACTAAATTGATCGTGCATTTGGCTTGTTTGGTTTTAGTCATTTCTTGAGTGAAGTGTAGTATGTGTTAACCCTTACACTGCTCCAGTCTTGTTAGTCCCTTGCACTGCTCCAGTCTTGTTAGCCCCTTGCACTGCTCCCACCTAATTATCCATACATCTTATGTGTCATTGACGTTCAATTCAGATTTTAAAATAGAAATAATATATTCATAAAAACATTAAAGACCTGTCTTGCAAGATGAAAATTTCATCTATTAAATGCCGCTATAATGTCTGTAGATGCAATGTGTCGAGATATTGATCTAAATATACTCCAGTGGTCTCCTTGTTAGCCAAAGACGCAGAATTCAATGTGTTACATCTTCTAATGTGTAATTCCAGTATGCCTGTTGACCGACAAGTCCCGGTCTACTCTAATTGCATTTTATATGTTGGAAGTCGAACCCAATAATGAAGGGAGGGCAAATTTGTGAAAAGTAAGTTATATAAAAATAAATGTGTGCCTCACACACATAAGTTAAATTTCTCAAACTTGCTTAAACTCTTTCCAATTTTTTGTGCATAATCTATCAGGTACACGCTCCAACTTTGTGTAAATGATCACCAACGTAACTTGGAAAAACAAGAAAATTAAAAATAATTATAAAATTTAATATTGAAAATTTGAGATTTTCAGATCAGCTGCAATAATATTAAATATCAGTAATTGTTCATTAAGTGTTACTATGCTCTCATAATAGTATATGATCTTCATTTTAATAGATTTAGAATACAGTGGAATCTTGAATAACAACTTTAATCCGTTCCGGTGTCGTGGTCGTATGTGAAACAGACGTCATTCAAAACAAAGTTCCCGATTTGAAAAGAACGTAAATAGAAATGATCCGTGCTACCACCGAAAAACATCAATATGATATATGTTTTAAATAATGGCGCAGCCTACCTTACATACATTGAACAAACCTTTGACATTTTTCTTTCTTCAAATTTATTCAATTTTTTTGTTTTCATTTTTTGTATAGCAAAAGGTTCGTTTGGTATTTGTCAGGTAGGCTGTTTCCATCTGAAGGGGCCAGGTTCTGGCTCGTTGTCCCCGGTAGGCCCACAGAACTCCATACACATGACTGATGCCAAAGTTTGACATTAGCATATCAGCTTGGATAAGCTCTGGGGAGCCTCCGGGTCTCACCCATAAAATGGCGTTTCATTACATTCAACACTTTTTTTTCAGTCACTGAAGAAGAAGCTGCAGCTCTCGCAATCTATGTTTGCCGTGCAAGAGAAAGATGGAAAGACACGATGGTCAAAACTCAGCATTCATGGGAAGAATTTGCTCCTCCACGCCCTAGACGACACTCCTCCGCCTGCTGGAGCTGCCATTGTTTCGGTAAATTTTTATTTAGATGACCTAGTGTGCGTATAATTACCAAAGTGTAGATACAGGATGAGAGTTACACTTGTGTCCCGTCTTGCCAGCACACTTTTTTTTTTCGTACAACACTTTGAAACTACTGACGGTTTTGGCCTCCTCCACCTTCTCGCTTAGCTTGTTCCAACCGTCTACAACTATGTTTGCAAAACGAAATGAAATATTTTTTAAACACCTTTGTTTCCTTAGCTTGAATCTATGACTTCTTGTTCTTGAAGTTGCCAGTTTCAGGAATTCCTCTTTGTATTTGATCAATTCTCATTTTTTGTAAATGGTGATCATAACGCCTTTTTTTCTTTTATCTTCTAGCGTTGGCATGTTGAATGCCTCTAGCCTCTCTTCATAATTCTTGTTTTTCAGTTTTGGAAGCCATTTTGTAGGATGCCTTTGCACCTTTTTCAGTTTATTGATGTGCTTCTCGAGATATGGGCACCATACAACTGTTGCATATTCCAATTTTAGTCTCGCAAAAGTCATGAACAGTTTCTCTAGTATTTTACCATCTATGTAATGAAAAGCAATTCGGAAGTCGGAAAGCGACGTATACTCTTCTCGCACAATATTGTGCTCCTCTGGTGACGGTTTACTTTCCACATAATTTGTAGGTTGTGTGTGATCTTTTTTTTCTTCTATTCCACAATCCATAACATGCCATTTACAGTAGCCACATTGAATTCCATTTGCCACATGGTACTCCAAGCACTTACTTTATCTAGGTCAATTCGAAGGGCATGACAATTGTTTATGACTCGTATTTTCCCTAGTAGCTTAGCATCATTGGCAAACATGTTCATATGATTTTGTATTCCTTCTGGTAGATTGTTTATGTAGACAAGTAGATTTATTAATGTAGATTATTTGTGTCTGGGAAAATAATATATGGTGTCCTTGCTTGAGCGAACTGTGCTTCGTTTGATCCATCAGCCTGTAGGTAAACATCCCCCCTCCCCTCCCCAGAACTAAAAAAAACTGGTCCTACATCTCTATGATGCATATAGAGGTCTCTGACTCACCAGGAGAATAGTGTAGTGAAATATCTTCATAAATAACCTTGAAGCATATCTAGGTAGGTACAAATATACACAGGTCCTGTATATTTTGGGGGATCTTCGACAAGCCACCAGCTTCCTGTCCTCGTCGAGGGCCACTAGTATCGGTGGACCTCTGGTAAAAATCCACCATAATCAGTCTTTCTGAAAGTCTATATTAACCACAGGCACTGTGCATAGTGCCTTGAGGCACTCGATGGATTGTTTGAAAAAAAAAATTAATTTGGAAATATTTTCATGTTTGCTGATGTTTTTTCACTTTGTGATTTGAAATGAAAAATTTTGCATTTGGCAATATTTTGACGTTCTCAAATACTTTTTCAGGTTATATTAATAATTCATTAACCACTGCACCTTGACTTCAGTGAAGTCAAATCACTTGAAGTTGAAGTCACACTTGAATCGTTGCGACTTGAAATCCATAGACTGGGAGGCATATGAAGCTAGAACGGAGGATTTTTGGACTTGTACATTCGTAAACCTCATCCTGGAAACATTCATGTTTCAATATGTTAAACAAGCTACGAGGATGAGGGAAGGGGACGTTCCCTCCATGCTGGATTTGATATTTACCAGGAAAGATGAAGAGATATTTGACATTCATTACCTCCCTCCCTTAGGTAAAAGTGACCATGTCTTATTGGGAATAAAGTATGCTGTGTGTTATAATCTGGAAGAAAATGAGGTTGAAGCAGTTGAAAAGCCTGATTTCAGGAGAGGTCATTATGGGGAACTCAGACATTTCTTTAAGGAATTTGACTGAAAAGACTTGCTGTTAGGACATGAAGTAAATGAAATCTTCAGGGAACCAGACACAATAAGAATAACAGCATAGAGCACAGAGGTGCCTAGACACGACGTGGAAAAAATGCTCAAGGAGCTAAGAAAGAACAAATTGATCCAGATGAGGTTTCACCATGGCTTCTGAGAGAATGTGCACCTGGACTCGGCATTCCACTTCAATTGATTTTTCAGGCATCCCTGTGTAAAGGAGTTGTAGCTGATGTGTGGAAAAAGGCTAACATCGTTCCAATCTACAAAAGACCTGTAGGAAAGCAGGGAAGACCTCCTCAATTATAGACCTGTATCATTGACAAGTGAAATGGTAAAATAATATAAAACTAAATGGGTAGAACACCCGGAGAAAAACTATATATCAGACAGACAGTATGGTTTTCAGTTTGGAAGATCCTGTGTAACAAACTTACACAGTTTCATTGATCGAGCCACAGATATTTTAAAGGAAAGAGATGGTTGGGTCGACTGCATCTATCTGGACCTAAAAAAGGCTTTTGACAGAGTTCCACATAAGAGGTTGTTCTGGAAACTGGAACATATTGGAGGGGTGACAGGTAAGTTTCTAACATGGATGAAAAATTTCCTGACTGATAGAAAAATAAGGGCCGTAATCAGAGGCAATGTATCGGACTGGAGAAATGTCACAAGTGGAGTTCCACAGGGTTCAGTTCTTGCAATGGTAATGTTCATTGTTCATTGGATGATGCTAAGATAATAGGGAAGATAAGAAACCAAGATGATTGTCATACCCTTCAAGAAGATCTGGACAAAATAAGTATATGGAGCACCACTTGGCAAATGGAATTTAATGTGAATAAATGCCAAGTTCTGGAATGTGGAATTGGAGAACATAAACCCCACACAACCTATAAATAATGTTAGAAATCGGTAAAGAATTCTGATAAAGAAAGAGATCTAGGGGTTACCTTGAGTTACCTTGAGATGATTTCGAGGCTTTTTAGTGTCCCCGCGGCCCGGTCCTCGACCAGACCTCCACCCCCAGGAAGCAGCCCGTGACAGCTGACTAACACCCAGGTACCTATTTTACTGCTTGGTAACAGGGGCATAGGGTGAAAGAAACTCTGCCCAATGTTTCTCGCCGGCGCCTGGGATCGAACCCAGGACCACAGGATCACAAGCCCAGCGTGCTATCCGCTCGGCCGACCGGCTCCGACCGGGGGTGGTTCTAGATAGAAAACTATCACCTGAGGACCACATTACATTAAGAACATTGTGCGAGGAGCCTATGCTACACTTTCTAACTTCAAAATTGCTTTTAAATACATAGATGGTAAAATACTAAAGAAATTGTTCACGACTTTTGTTAGGCCAAAGCTAGAATATGCAGCGGTTGTGTGGTGCCCATATCTTAAGAAGCACATCAACAAACTGGAAAAGGTGCAAAGACATGCTACTAAGTGGCTCCCAGAACTGAAGGACAAGAGCTACGAGGAGAGGTTAGAGACATTAAATATGCCAAAATTAGAAGACAAGAAAAAGAGGTGATGTGATCACTACGTACAAAATGGTAGCAGGAATTAATAAAATTGATAGGGAAGATTTCCCGAGCTGAGATCTGGAACTTCAAAAACAAGAGGCCATAGATATAAACTAGCTAAACAAAGATGCCGAAGAAATATAAGAAAATTAACTTTCACAGAGTGGGAGACGGTTGGAACAAGTTAGGTGAGAAGGTGGTGGAGGCCAAGACCGTCAGTAGTTTCAAAGCGTTATATGACAAGAGTGCTGGGAAGACGAGACATCACGAGCGTAGCTCTCATCCTGTAACTACACTTGTGTAATTACCATGAATTTGTCACACAGGTGAATGGGTATGCAGTTCAGAAGTTGAACAAAATGTCTCAAAATCTATTTCTGTATTTATCATTTTGACTTGCACGTGACAGAGCAGTGATTGGTGAATAAAGTCATTATTATATGACAATTATTAGTGGGCACAAACATTACATAACAAACGTTTGTCTCGGTATACTGTATATGTATTAGTATATTTTGGTAGCAGTCTTTCCTGTAGACATATATTATTAAATATGACAAAAAGTAAGATTAATAATTCTAACACGAATTTTCTCTTTCTTATGTTTCTTTTCACTGTTGATGGTAATTGAAAAATCAATTCTCCAAAATTAATTTTTATTTCTAGTCTGGCGCGACACTTGAACGCGTTTCGTAATAACTTGTTACATTTTCAAAGACTTAGTTTACACACACACAACTATAACCTGCAAACACTAAAGAGAGTTCTTACTATGCTATGATTTAAACAGCTTTCATTTTATTTTATACCTGCATTTTGGGTGAGGTGATATGTTACAACAGTTTTGGATGAGGTGAACAAAACTTTCAACACAAGACAGAACACGAAACAATGGGTATTAATTGGGTAAATTGAAGGTAAGAATGGAAGTAACTGCAGAGGGCCTATTGGCCCATATTTCTTGATGCTTCTATATTGGAGCCGAGTCTTGAAGTGGGTAGAATATAGTTATGCATTAATTGGCTGTTGATTGCTGGTGTTGACTTCTTGATGTGTAGTGCCTCGCAGATGTCAAGCTGCCTGCTATCGCTGTATCTATCGATGATTTTTGTATTGTTTGCTAAGATTTCTCTGGTGATGGTCTGGTTGTGGGAAGAGATTATATGTTCCTTAATGGAGCCCTGTTGCTTATGCATCGTTAATCGCCTGGAAAGAGATGTTGTCTTGCCTATATACTGAGTTTTTTGAGGCTTACAGTCCCCAAGTGGGCATTTGAAGGCATAGACGACGTTGGTCTCTTTAAAGGCGTTCTGCTTTGTGTCTGGAGAGTTTCTCATGAGTAGGCTGGCCGTTTTTTTGGTTTTATAGTAAATCGTCAATTGTATCTTCTGATTTTTGTCTGTAGGGATAATGTTTCTATTAACAATATCTTTCAGGACCCTTTCCTCCGTTTTATGAGCTGTGGAAAAGAAGTTCCTGTAAAATAGTCTAATAGGGGGTATAGGTGTTAGTTGTCTCTTCAGAGGTTGCATGGCGTTTCACCTTCCTTCTTATGTTTTCAACGAAACCATTGGAGAAGCCGTTGTTGACTAGGACCTGCCTTACCCTACAGA